TTCATTTAATTTTATTTATCTATTCTTCTTTACGATCATACTTTTCTTGATCGATAGAGAATTAAAATAAGCAGCGTTTTTAAGACGCAGACATGGTCACCAAGTATCATTTTTGCCATACTAGCTAGAAACGGAAAAACTAGCCTTTAAAAATACAGGTCTATTTACCAAAAGATAGGTAAGGAGTTGATCGTTACGTTGTGGATTTGAATCCAGTGTGGGACGTGGATCCGTCACCGGTCCTTCGAATGAGACCGTATATACAAGGTCCCTGTCGTAGTAGGTGCTGGTATGAAACTCACTACTCAATGACCGTAAGTGCCTAGCATAGAACATAATTTGCAGCTCTTCACTGCCAAATGATTAGACACTTTCTAGTTAATCAACATACAAACAAGCACAAAAAAGGGATCGAGCTTTCATTCAACCCAAACTGTATTGATATAAAGTTTATTTCATAAAAATATGCTGTCATATTATGCCTTTTGAATTTATAATTATGTATATAGATCAATAAAGATCTGCATGTTTTTTCGCTCTAAAATATATTTGGGAGGAGAAGGTATGATGCATTGACCTGAACTCTGGAAACATTTTATGAAAATATATCACAGTTAACATTAAAGAAAAAATCTTGAGGTTAAGATATTGTTTCAACGTTTTCCCCTGTTTTGAACAAAATCATTTGGATATACTATACATACGTGGAACAAATGGCTTCACTCTAAAATCTTATATAAATGTAAAGTATATGTATTCAGAACAATCATATCTAAGTTTATGTACCCTACAGCATTAGTTTTGATGGAAAATTCACATTGCATTGTAATTTTCTTTCATCATTATTTGCTTATAATATATTTTTGTATGAAATATTCATGTCGAATAAGACCTTTGAACGCTTTAAACATCATAATAGGTAAAAAATGAAATGAAATGAAGATGCCAAGTAATGCCAGTAAATGTGTATCTAAAAGAAATTCCACTTATTGTTTTTTTTTTTTTCAAATCATATATGCAAACAAAGATTTTGATCATAAATGTGAATTTTGCAAATTCAACAATGCGCAAGATAAATAACAAAAACATCAATTCTTTAATTTTTGATACTGCCCTTAAGGGACTGGACTCTTGCTGACTTCCTCAATGGTATTCGATAACTGTTTTCTAATATAAAATGTAATATATTCATATTTCGTTATTTTGTCGTCCTTATTATGCATTGATTTCTTGGTGAATTTATCCCAAAATTAATTATTCATAGTTCCGAAATAGACGTATCTCATGTAAATAAAATGTAAACTGTCATCTAGAGCAGTTAATTTCCGTTTGGGAATTTATTCCAAAAAATAAAAATACACAGTTTGAAAGAAAACTTATGAAGTCCAGAATAATGTTTCCACCTCTGTCGAAGTACATGTACAAGCCCAAGCAGCAATTTTGGAAATATTCCTGTCACGCTGGAAAAAAACAAAACATTACTTTGTTTTCGAAAGCATTTCTGAATCATTTGAATTGTTATGTTGTGATTTTAGTATCTGTTTGCTGATGTTTTGTCCCCTTTTTTGTCTCACAAAGGATCCCATATGCATAGAATACTCCTAATATGGCGAGCTTTCTTATTTTGGCATTGTTTAGTGCTTATTGAACTTTAAGTAAAGACCTAATGAAAAAAAAGCAATAATATAAATTCACTTACCTTTGATCCTCCAAATGTAATAACGGACTCATCATGCCGTATGCCTTTCGCATATTTCGTTATAACCAAATAATTACATTAGTTGTGTTTTTCTACTAAACCAACTGTAAAATTGATTTGAATATCATTTTGTATACTCACACGTAGATATATACATGGACAAATGTGCGTCACAATAAAAGTACAGCGGCGTGAATACAAAGTAAAAATATAAGTATATAGGACAGTGAGATATTCAAATATTGAGTATATTTTTGGTGCAAACATGTCAAGTATAAGGAATGCTTTTGAGTTTAGTGTGAACTATTGGTGTGTAAATCACACAGTCTTGCGCGTAGGTTTATTTTACATGAAGCGCTAGCTCACACAAAACTTAAAATCATTCCGTAAATATAAAACGACAACAGGATATCTAGAAACGTTAGAAGTCTTTTTTTTCTTTTGAGAATTAAACAATCACAGGGGTTCCTCATGTCGAATTATTGCGTGCTTTTCTTCACAGGAGAACCACTTTGATTGTGTCATGTTAAAATAAGATTTTTCTAAACATAAAAATATGATGCTCTGCCTTGCCTTATAGTCTACAGACATCAGTGTTTTACTTCTAGTGCATTGTTGATCAACAGTTGCCCTGCTTCAAGGTTTTTTCAAAATGGTGATTTTTGAGGTTGTTGTGCTTTTCTTCTGTTTCTCATTTGTATGATATTCATGTGTACTTGAGCTTAAGGTGACTACGTGCTTACGATATATTATTATACACCGTGCTTAATCTATGCTTAATTCAAACTTCACCTCTTATACAATCATTCATCTTGTTGAACATCGTATACTGCTTACTTTCTTTTAAATCATTGCTCATTTAATGTTTAAGTTAAAAAAAAATAATGATTAATATTTAAGTTGTGTCACAGGGTTCTCCATCAACTGTTTTACTTGTTGGTCCCGACACGGTAAAATTTTATCCGACACCGTAGTTATTCAACATTTTATGCTTGAGACACAGTAAAATTTTGAGGCACATTTAAAGATGGGTTTAAATCAGATAATTGAAACGTATGAATTGCGTGTGTCCGTCCGTCTAGAAGTCCATGTGTCTAGCTGTCCGTTCGTCTATTCGTTCCTTTGTCTGTCAGACTTTCCCACCTGATTTCCACATTTCTTTTCTAAACACTTGCAGATATGTATTGAGCTGATTTTGAATATTAAGTTGTATCTTTATGAAATACCGATCATATTTGCATTCGCAGTACTGCGTATCCAAAACCAAAAATACAATCGTAAACTAAATTAACTTGAATATATAAATCTGGTAAAAAAATCAAATTGTTTACTGTAGAAAATCAAAATCCCAATGTTTTCACTGTAGCGAATCAGAGTTTATATGTTAGTAGTACAACGCAGTACAGTTAAGGTACGCAATGGAAATATCGACTAAATTTTGTATTTAAAACTGTATTCATAATCGGGATGGCGATTATGTTTTAGTACATTATTTATATCGGATAATTGTAACTATGATTAATAACTACATATCGAGGACGATTTATTTTATATTTCGACTAGTCACGTGATGCGGCCGTCATGCGATTTTAGCACATTGACTTGAAGTATTGATGTAACATATAAATATCACTATTGCAAGGGCATAACCAAGTTAAATTTCCAAGTTTAGTATATAATTATTTTCAACACGCATTGTAGTTTCTAAAAAGTGCTGCGAGCCTGTCTAAATTCTGCAATTTCATTGTTAACATTATACTTGTATAACAGAATGCTATATTTTTTGCTGGTCAGCGGCATGAAATAATGATATAATTAAATTGTTTTTAAGATTTCATCAGGATCACAGCACTTTTCAGATACCTTAGTAGTTCTTTAGTTGAAATGTAAAAGCTTACTTTGATCCATAGAGTGTATGCCCTTGCACTGGATTGATTTGTTAAGATCCCCACATTACCCTCCGATATTCTTGCATACAAATATACGGCAGTGTCAATTAAATACGTAATGTACAGAAAATATATTAATAAAATAGTGAAGAAGATATTAAATTCAAGTTATTAGCCCGTAGAATATCTGTTAATAATATTTTATTTAATTGGAGAATACATATTTTGTTGAGAAAATATTACTTGATCTGTCTCTCACTGAATACAAACTACATCACGTTGTAAGAAATGACGCCATACTCGTAGTGACAAGTGTATTGCGATCAGTGACTTGTTTATAACTTGTTATGTGGGATTTAACTAACGACAAAACAACACGCTGTAGTAAGTTAAGTTTTTTATGCAGTTTGATGATTTCTTACTGGTTAAATTAGCAGATAAACTCATTTTGTGGTATATGAAAGAAATGTTGTATGACGTATATTGTGTATGATGTCATAGTCAAATTTTCCCGTACAAATTAGGCTCCGCTCCCTTTTTTGTAACCTAAACTGTGCTGAGAATGAAAAAAACTAACTGAAAATAATAGACGGGTACAAATTGATACATTTTTAATACCATTTTGTTTTATTATTATTTTTTTTTTTGGTCAGGATGACTTTTATACTGATAGAAATAAAATTGCACGGTATCTTGTAATTTCTAAAAAGCTTTAGTTTGCTTCTTCAAACAAAGTTCCACTCTTTTGAAGATAAGTTATATGTCTTTAGCTCCGGTTAAAATGTTTCATCTTATACAAAGTATTAAATGCATTTTTAAAACATGTCTCTCGATTTTGAAAAAAAAACAGAAGAACTTTTCTTGCTAAGGAAAATATTCTATGATCATATTTGAAAATTGTAAGGATCTATCATGTATGCCCTTGTGAAATGCCGAATCAATATGCATCTCAATATAAAACATGCGAATTCTGTACATAAAACACCGAATAATTGATCCGATTTATATTTTCTGAATACTTATTAGATAATCGTCCTAAACAAAGTTTTACAAAATTTTCAGTTTCCTTTCTAGAATCTTTAAATTATACTAAAAATATTAATAATATGTGTGTTATACTTTTATGAAATCCCTTTATCTGCCGATTACTCCACATGAAATACGTATTTTTTTATCAAAATGACGTAATGTCGACAACTTCACTGCGATCAGTAATTTTTTATGTATATATATTAAGCTGTATAAGATTCAACCTGCTACGAAAATTGATGCATTGGTAAGATTTGATGCTGTTTATTATGAGTAAATAATTTAAAATTTTGCGTTTTTCCAATAATTGCAAAAATAAAATGTTAATTACCACAAAGAACCTAACACTCACATTCATATCTTCTAACAGAGGTGCTCCATACCTGATCTGCACAACATCTTTGTCTTTTTCTGTGAGGTCAAATTCATTAAAGAAGAAAGCTGTCATTATTGCAGAAATTTTCAGAAAAAATGGAAAGAAATTACAAGATATATTTCAAAAGTATTAAACTGAAACAAAATGCAAAAAATAATATGAAAAAATTGACTATGTGTATTATCGACAAAAATGTTTATTTTGCAGTATTTAAAGTACTTACAATGCTTCTGTAATCATGGAATCAGTTGTACTTTCATTAGTTTGTATCTCCGATGTCTTTCCCGAATCTTGTGCTACAGCTTCAGTGAATAAATGAGTAAAACATATATCTAGAGACATACAAACTATCAATCAAGAAATCTTGAAGCATTCATTAGGGTTGTAATAACTGAAAATTATTATAAAGTACTATACATTCAGTTTAACTAATAACTGTATTTAAATGTACAGGTAAAGTCAATACTATATATAATTTTAAGTTCAAGCCAGCACACGGAAAATAAAAATGCTGACATGTACCTGTGTCTTGACAGCCATTTGCAGCATTACAGTTGCTTTCAGCACAATCGCACACATTTGTACAATGTAGGCCGTAATATGGATATTCACATGATTCCCCACAATCGATTCCAATATATCCTGCAGCACAATCTAAATATTTTAAATGTAAATGTTAGTTATTTGTTTCATCACAAAGAAGTCTGAGAATTTTTCCTTGTCAAAAATTGCTAAGCGCCCATAATAATGCGGCTTTATCCCGACATTATAAAAACAGATAAAGGTGAAGGGAACAAACAGAAATGTATCTCGAGAAATCCAGGCAATATTAACTCTTTGTGACGAGGACATGAACACGGATCCTGAAAATTCCAACAGAGGGATCATGTGCCTCGGTCTTAGTAAGCGTTTCCTGTCGACCCTTGACCCCCAATATGAAACCTACCTGTTAATCGAGTAAACGGAAAAACCCATCTTTAAACTCAGTATGAATACAATAGTCTACCAATATACTACCTAATGACACATATGAAGACGTAACCACTTGCCCGTGGTCAGCTGACACTTACAGATATTGAGCAGTAAAATGTCTCTTTTAATGCCAGCACCTACTGCGACAAAGGACCTTAGTTTATAACTGAAGAACCAATCTCAACGTCCTACAGTAGGAGTCGAACCCGAGATTATAAAGCAGATATACATAGCAATTTCAAATAGATATATATATGCATCAATAAAAGAATATGAGTTTTTTTGTGTTGTCTTATCTTACAGCTTTCGAATGATAACGTCAAAGTGTCCAAAACAATGTTACGTCTCCTCTTTGCTACAAAAGAAACGTCGATATGTCCAACGTAAATTTGGAATTTCATTGATGCATACATCAATTCTTTGATGTTTTCTTTATCCCTCCATACGCAGTTCAGGACTCAATCTTCCACATACATGGGGCCCTCTGAAGATTTTTTAGTTGTGAACATCGAACGTTTGACATATTCACTATTTCTTAACAAATATTTATAAAAATGTACTTAACGAAAAAAAACTGAATTGTTCATGAAGTTAACATTTGACAGGAAATTTTAACTCACGTAATGAACAGATGACTTATGAAAACTGACCAGTACATTTCTGTAGTTGATCGTTCCAGGAGGTACCTGAACAACAACCATGGTTCCTACGGAAGAAAAACATTATTATCTTATTTAAATGTTCGGAACATTCTTTAATGTTTGAGCTTTTAAATCAGCTTAAAAAATAAAAAGACATTTCTTAAAATAATCAAATTAATTTATTGATTGAAAAAAAAATCGACAACTAAAAATTTAAATGCATGGCGAACGTACCTATTATCACGGCAAGGACCATCCTGCATATGATATAAAGGAAAAAGACCTAAAATTGACACAGTGAAGAGAAATAACATATCCAACGTTTTAGTTTGGAACATTTAGTCCTACAAAATGTTAAGTTCACTTTATTTAGAAGGAAGGATGTCACTCAATATTTAGACTTGTAATCATGTTGGTTTATACATGACTTGTAATCGTATATTCATTTCCTTTGTGCTCCAGACAAAAATGTAAAAGTATGAAAACCCACATGCAATCCACTTTATGAACATAACTATATCAAAATGATATATAACAAATAGAATTCTTCCGGAATTCTCAAGTATACACTTAGAGCTTATAGAAAATAGCCGTAAATTAAGATTGCAGTTCTAAAAAAAAAGATCTGAACTTGATTAAATTTAATTTAAAGTATAAATTTAATCAAGTACATGACGGTTCCAGACCACAAGAATAGCTGATATATTATGTCATCAATTACGCCATATATTATGTAATCACTATTTACATATTAATCATGTTCATAATTCGGTTTAATTCTGTTGTGAATTTTTGATATAGATAATAAGTTGTTTATTACATTGTAATAATTTTATGGATTTCTTGATCAATTATTACATAATTAATTACAACTATATTTTTATATTCAAAGTCATATTAGTTACAAAGTGCAACATACCTTAATGTCTTGTTTTTTATGAGAATGGAGAGTGAAGGCGGATTCTTGAAATTCTGCGATAGTATAATAACTGAAAGTTGGGTTCTAGACAATACACGAAAATGTTAATGAACAAGAAGTTCCACAAAATAGTACATGTAATTATGTCAAAATGAATTTGCATTGGCAATCGGGGTCAAGTACAAAATAAGACGAAAATAGTCCCATCCACGTAATCTGCAGTAAATCAGTTTTGTTATTATTTTTGTAGGACCATAAATAGTCACGTTTAAATATATCAGCTATATTCTAATATGAATATATATACAAAACGTTAAATGCAAATTACTTTTTAATGAATATTAACAAACACTTTATTGAAATGTTTTAGTATAATAAAAAACAAAGGATGCATGTAAAATAACAATACAATATTTATTAAACTTCTAAAGAACAATTTACAGGTCAACAGACTGACAAGTCGACAGGTTGACAGGTCGAGAGGGTGACAAGTTGACAGATTGACAGGTCTACAGGTTAACAGGTCAACAATTTTAATTAAGAACAACAATTTGACGGGCTTGACAGGTAGACAAGTCGACAGGTCGACAGGTAGGCAGGTTGCCTTTTAAGTTAAATTTACATTCTCATTTCATATGCGAAATGTCAATAGTTTGATGTAAACATCTCCATTTGACAATCCAAACATATGCCGATAAATAAATTCATCTAAAATAGCTTCAATTTTGTCATGAAAACAAATTATCTGAACAATCTGTGTATAATGCTGACTCATTTTACTGTAAATGAGCTAAATATACAAATTGTCAACACGTCTTATTGTCAACTCAAAATACATCTGAATAATGTTGTCAATGTGTCAACCAGATATAAAAGCACATTTATTAACAAATTTACTTTCAAACTTCACAGTAGTATTGATGTCAACCTGTCCACCTGTCAGGTTGTTATCTATAGTAAAAGAGAACGAAAGGATATCAAATGAATATGAAAATAAAGAACCATAATCACCCTTTACAGGTTACATTTCCTCCACATGAAACAATGTACTAAAGGAATTATATTAGTTAACATATAGGCACGAGAACAATATGTTCCAGGAGATACAAAAACATGTTTAAGTGTCAGGCATTTTTTTTTTCTAGCACATCATTCAGACAGAAAATTTCCCTCATTTGTAATCAGTGCAAGCATTGAGTATGATGCCTACAAAAAAAAAAAAAAAAAAAAAAAGGAACTAGTGCTAATTGTAACGGGGACCGTTACAGATGTTCCCCCAAACGCTCCCCAACTCCCTTTTGGTGCCATATTCCCTATAAGCATCATTAAATAAGACAAACTCTATGCATTTGAGACTTTAACAACGTTTACCCAGAAGTGTACCAATTTCATTCAAATTTTAGCATTGCACGCGTGCGCATGTGAATGCACGTGCGTAATGACTATATAATCTTGTCTTCACAACCTATAGATTTTAATATAATAAATATCAAAGTATTTAATCCAAAAGTATTTAAAAATACGCTAATTCAAATGTATTTTAGTTTTACTCATTTCACGTGCACACACATGCTCAAATGAGCATGGCGACCATATCTTCTTGTAGAAGTCCGTTATATGCATGGTGACCATGTCTTCTTGTATCCATGTTCCAAATCCCATCCTGTTTGGTTGAAAACCAAGGGAGTTATAGCTGTTCAAAGTTTCAGCCAATCAGATTGCAGTGCACGTGTATGCACGCGTTTTCATGATAATTGTATATATCTTATTGTAGGATATCCTAATACATGCCTATATTTATTTAAAATTTCAAAGGATTTCGTCAAAAAACAAGAAAGATATGGAGACTTTAGTTTCAGCCAATCAGAGCGAAGCGCACGTGCATGCGCGTGAGATCTTGCTTTTTTGACCATGTCATCTTGTCTATGCTTCTAATATATACTTCTAATATGAGTTTTCAAAGCATTTCATTAATAATTTAAATAGTTACGTATGTATCAACTATATTGGACATTTCTCGTGTTGCACGTGCGAGCTCTAGCAAGCACACGTGCATGCACATGCTTTCATGATATTTTTTTTATTACGGGCTGTAGATCTCCCTAATGTATGACTATGTTCAAAATTTCAAATGATTTTATCAAAAATCAAGAAAGATATATAGACTTTAGTTTCAGCCAATCAGAGCGAAGCGCACGTGCTTGCACGTGCGATCTTGCTATTTTGACCATGTCATCTTGTGCATACTACTCATATATCCTTACATTATGAGTTTCAAAACATTTCGTCTAAAAGTAGAAAAGTTACGGTTATATCCATTATATATTGGTCATTTCAAGTTTTGCACGTGCGCGCTCTTGCAAGCACGTGCGCGCAAAATGACCTTGATTCCGCAAATCTACATAACATGCCTACTTACCCTAAAAAGGTTTCCCCTTAATCGGATGTGTACTTTACAAGATCATTCGCAGGACAAAATTTTCCCGAGAAGAAAAATAATAACTAGTGCTAATTGTAACGGGGACCGTTACAGATGTCCCAAACGCTCCCCCAAATCCC